GCAAGTGCCTCAGCGGGGCACCTGGCACAGGGAAGTGAGCGGGGCAGCAGATGCCTCGACAGGTGTTATGAGTGCGTGGGAAGGTCAGTGGGCGGGCAGGCAGGTGGACAGGCAGCAGGCAGGTAAGTAGGCAGACAGATGGAGGGTCAGGTTGAGGGAATGGGCTTCGGCCACTGTCTACCCCAAACCACGCAGGGGCAGTCAGAGAGCTGGGTGCTTCCCCCAGAAACTGGCCCTGTCCCCCAGGTGGCCTTGTGCCTCAACCGCCTGCAAGGGCTCCCGGCAGGAACAGGGCCACCTTGTCTGGGCCCTATATGCTCTCACGGGCAGCAGGGGAGAGCTGCAGCTGGGGGTGCCATTAAAGGGCCCCACCAGGTAGGGCCATCAGAATGCAGGCGGCCCTAGAGGATGGACACTGGGAAAGGTGGCCCCTGCAAGCCCTGTGCAGGCGACTTTGGAGCACGGGACACTGGGAAAGGTGGCTGCTGGCGTGAGGCCGGCTGCCGAGGTTCTGCGTTGTTCTGCAGCCAGCCTCATGCTCCTCCAGGGACCTGGGTCTGTCACTCCACTGGCAGGGAGGGCTGTTGCTCACAGGTGGGCCGATATGGCCGTGATGCCCCAAGGGCTCCGGGCGGTCATTGCATTTAGACCTGAACTTGGGTTTCTGGACCTGAATAGACACCTGCGGGCCTAGCCCATCACCCGCCCTGGGCACCTGCACCTCCCTGAACCGTAGCCCTGGGGCATTCTGCTTAGCACACACCGAGCCAGCGTCCACCCCATATGGCCTGCCTCATGTGGTCGCCTCTGCGTGGAGAACTTGGGCTGGCATCGGGAGCTCCCCCACAGCAGCCCACCCTGTCTTGGCCCGGGCTCCAGGGAAGGGTCATCTCTGCTACAACTGGGGAAATGGCCAGTGCCACCAAGACCGGTGACCCAGCAGGGACCTTGGACATGCACCTGCTCCTGCCTGGGGGTGTGGGAGGCGTCCGTGTCAGCAGGGGTCGGCCTTCGGAGCATGGATAATGGCTCATTTATATGGGACAAGTCACTGTTTAATTGGCCCCTAATTACATGACAATTTAGACTTCATCCTCCACCACGTCCTTTGGTGTGTGTTTAGGACCTGCGCGAAGCCTGTCCTGCTCCCGCTGCCGTTACGGATGCCACGAGAGCGGGGGTGGCAGCACGGCCCATGTCATTGTTCTCCCACCCGAGTGATTACACAGTGCTGGCATCTCTTGCGTATTGCTGTTTTGTTTTGTTTGTTTTCCCCACTGACCTGATTGTGGTCCCCTTCCCCAGACTGGGGGTAACCAGGGTTGGTCTGTAACAAGCCAGCCACCAGAGGGAGCTGGCTGAGGCTCCAGGCAGGGCCCTGCAGTGCTGCCAGGGGCTCGTGGCCACATGGCAGGGATGAGCGCCCAGCGTACCCACCGTGCCCGGTCCTCCGCCTCTCTCTAGGGCTGGACAGGTCAGGCCCCCTGCCTGTCTGCCCAGCAACTGCCGAGAGCCACCCCTGCCTTGTCAGCTGCCCCCATCTCTGTGCTTCTCCCAGGCCCGCTGCTTGCCAAGCAGTGGTTTCACAGCGGCACAAGGGCGCACGCTGGGCCGCAGAGGACAGCCCACTCAGTGGCCAGCCAGAAGGGCAAGCCCACAGGGCTGGGTCCCAGAAGCACCCTCACCAAAGCGGACTTTTTCCACATACCAGAGGCAGGGGAGGGGCTGAGAACCCAGACCTGTGTACCAACTCCCGTTCTAAAATAGCTCCAAGTACCGCCTGCAGCGGGCCAACCATGGGCTGTGAGAAACTTCCAGAATAAAGTGGCTCTCCCTGGACCAATGCTGAGAGCCAGACAGACAAGGCCACATCCCCAGCGGGTGGTCACCTGCTCCTTGGTGCAGTACACACAGGCCCGGCCTTGTAGGGAACACGGGCTGAACACGAGCTGGCCCGCCCGTGGGAAGCAGCAAGAGAAGAAGGCAGAGACGGCCCTGGAGCAGGCAGCCCCCAACCCACCCACGCTGGGCACCCAGGGACCCCTGCCCGTCCTGACTCCCTGCTGCACTCGAGTTTCCACACAGGCCACCTGGCTTGAGCTGTCCCTGGACAGGGTGTGCGGCCGTCTCCCTCTCGGAGCTGCAGGCAGGTGGGCAAGCTGAGTGAACGAGCCAAGTTATGGGGGTCTCAGCCCAGCTCTAGCTTCCCAGCTGAGGATGCACAGCCCCCCGGGCCCACGGGCTGGGGGCCAGAAGCTCAGAACTTGCCCTAAGCTTTTGAATTTTTTGTAAGACGCCTGCGTGTGTGTGTGTGTGTGTGTGCTGTGCTGCACATGGGCATGCTGTGTGGTAAGTGTATGGGGGATGTGTGGTTTACGTGTTGGTTGTGTGGGGTGTGTGGGGTACGGTGGGTGTGGCTCGTGTGCCAGGATGTGTTGTCACGCATGTGCTGTGTATGTTGTACATGTGTGCAGGCACGCGTGTCTGACCTCAGCCTGTAAACCCACACTGACACACAGGTGCCAGATGAACATGCACACTGAAGCCAGGGCTGCCCGCAGCTGCCTGGCACTGCCTCCGCCACTCGGAGCCATCGCGGCCTGGAGGCCACATGGGGACTGCACACTCAGACCCGAGTCGGGAGTGCAGAGGCACCGGGATCCGCTTGGGGCCAAGGCTGCAGCACTGGGGGCTCTGATCACACTGCAGGTGAGACCCACAGGCACACAGCGCTGCTCCGTGCGCTCCGCGCAGCCGGGGACCGTTCCCATCCCCCACCACGGTGCGGCCCCTCCCAGGCCAGAGTCACACACAGGGTGGCTTCTCTTCCAAGCCTCTTCTCACGCTCAACCCCCAACATATACACAGAGGATGGAGAGGGGTCCCATCCGCTGGGGTCCCACCAGACTCCAGGCTTCTAGGAAGTCGAAGTCTCTTGTCTAGCTCACCCTGTCTCCCCAGGGCCCAGCACACGCAGGCGCACCTCTGCACCTGTTACCTGCAGACAGGACTGGGGCTCATTCACTGCTAGGCACACAGAGGGCCTCAAGCCACATGTGCCCAAGGGGTGAGGCTGAAGATCTCCTGCTCAGAGAGGGGACAGCCACGGGCCAGGCAGGTGGAGCACAGCTGGCCTTCTGCCCACGTGGCTCTCCACGGGAGGCCAGGACGCTCAAGCTGGGTAAGCGGAGGCTCAGGGAGGCACAGCTCGGCAGCCCCACGCTGCACCTGACAAGGACACAGCACAAGCTTACTCTGGTGGAAGCCGCTTTGAAATCCACACCTATGGATGGCAAGTCTTGGGAAAGTTCATGAGAGTCTGCTATGAGGAAGTGTGTATTTCACTGGGGCCTCAGAGCACTCGCCCCAGCAAGGCGGCCAGGCCAGGCTGTCCTGTCGCCCCAGCAAGGCGGCCAGGCCAGGCTGTCCGGACGCCCCAGCAAGGCGGCCAGGCCAGGCTGTCCGGACGCCCCAGCAAGGCGGCCAGGCCAGGCTGTCCTGTCGCCCCAGCAAGGCGGCCAGGCCAGGCTGTCCGGACGCCCCAGCAAGGCGGCCAGGCCAGGCTGTCCTGTCGCCCCAGCAAGGCGGCCAGGCCAGGCTGTCCTGTCGCCCCAGCAAGGCGGCCAGGCCAGGCTGTCTGGATGTGGACAAGCCAGGCACCTGCCCAGGAGGTGCTCACAACAGAATGTCGCAGGGCCTGGCCAGCCTGGGATCCGATCTTGGCTCACGGCCGAGCGGGAGGTGTTCATGGGCCACCTTGGGCACTCCACCATCCGCCGAGCCCAGCTTCCTTGCCTGGCCGTGTGGAGGTGCCATGAACCCCTGGTGACGGGCTCAGCCCACCCACACCCGGGCAGTCGGAGACCCCTCTGCGGGTTTTCTTTTCTGCTTGATAATAAATCTGATTTGCCTGTTAATTCCTGCCCTGTCTTTCTCGTTCTCTTTCTGCGTGTTTCCTAACAGCAGTGAAGGCCTCCCTGGCCACTGTGGGCAGTCACAGGTCCTCCACCTCTGGCATGTCCCCCACCCCAGGTTCACCTCCTTGGTCCACATGGGGTCACACTGCACGGAGTGGGGTACTGGATGGCACAGAGGAAAGAGGTGCAGCTCTGACCCAGCAGCCTCACTGCCCCAGGGCAGGGAGGGAGTCACGCCTCCTGCAGGCCACTTCCATGCATCCTGCTCTGGCCACCAAGGACACTTCCATGGTTGTAAGAACAAGCCCAAACCAGGACCAGAGAGCAGAGGAAGAGCCCGCTGTAGCACAGGGGACCATGTCCACCCCCCGTCCCTGCCACGGTCCACGCGGCCAGCCCGGTGCCGTCCACTCCCCATCCCTGCCACAGTCCACGCGGCCAGCCTGGTGCCGTCCACCCTCCATCCCTGCCACGGTCCACGCGGCCAGCCCGGTGCTGTCCACTCCCCGTCCCTGCCACAGTCCGCGCGGCCAGCCCAGTGCTGTCCACTCCCCGTCCCTGCCACGGTCTACACGGCCAGCCTGGTGCCGTCCACTCCCCGTCCCAGCGAGCTGTGTTCCACGCCTGTCACAGTCTGCGTGCTTGTCCAGCCCACAGAGGGTGCACAGTCAGAAGGAACAGGGTGCCAGGAGGGCCAACCTCGTGCCCCACCGCGGGAGCCCCAGGCATCCGACTCCGGATCTCACGGCCTCTGTACGAGACGCGACGACGCCCATGTCCACCAACACAAACAAGCGAGTGAGGCAGCCTGTCTGTGTCCTGCCTGGCCTGGGCTGTCCAAGGTCCTCCCCTGCCCTGGGCCCAGGGCTGCTCCCTACTGCCCGGCGGACACTGCCTCCAGTCGGCAGGACAAGCGTGTCCTGTGGAGCCTGCAGTGCCTGCCCCCTCTCGCCCAGGCCTGGCAAGCAGCCAGGTGGCAGCCATCAGAATGACCTCAAGGAGGACCAGGAAGGACACCCAGGGGGGTGAGACACATACCAGACTTGGGGGCCCCACAGGGGGGGTGCCCCGGCCAACACCTACCTTCCTCTTGTTGGTTGGGCAGATGTAGAAGTTGTCGATAATGGTGGTGACACCAGGCTGGAGGGTGAGCTTGGTGTAGGTCGTCCCGAAGTCCGATGACCTGGAGAGACAGGGGGCAGCCGATGGTCAGCGCAGTGGTCAGCACAGAGCCCACCTGGCATCCGGTGCCGCCCACCCAGGCATATGGCAGCTTGGGCAGGCACCACAGGCCCCCTGATGCGGCAGCCTCTGTGGGAGGGGGCACAGAGGATCAGGTGGCATTAGAAGGCCTGCAGGCCCTCTGGTGACCCCTGGTGACCCCCCAGGGGACCCTGGGTGCCTGTACATGCCAGGGCTTACAGATCTGCGTGTCCCAGACCCTGCAGACAGATGTCACCACACCACCTCACAGGTGACTACGAAGAGCACCCCTGAAGTCACCCCTGGAGGGGCAGGGATGGCCCTGGGCTCCTGAGCCCCTTCTGCCAGTGCAGCCCTGCGGCGCTGGCAGGCCTAAGGTGGCCGAGCCTGTGGGAGGCAGTGCAGACCGCATGGCCACCCAGCACAGCAGGGGAAGGCAGGACGGAGGCTCCTTCCTCTTGGGGCTCCAGCCTCTGAGCTCAGCAGCAGCCCGGCCCACCATGCAGGAGGCCTGGGAAGCCTGCTGCCCTGCGTGGGGGGCCTGGTCATGTCACAATACCCTGCGGGGTCCCAGGGACACAGGTCTCCAGGAGCAGGGACTGGGTGCCCTCTTAGCCACACTTCCTGTGGGTTGGGTCCCTGCTACGGCCTCAGGAGGCTCCAGGGGCGGCCACTGGGGGGTTGGCTGCTCCCCGGGTGTCTGGTGGTGGCAGGGAGGGTGCAGCTCCTGGCTGCCGAGGACGGCAGAGGGGTGATGAGGAACTTGACTCCCAGCCCCTCGGAGGATCGATTTTCCCTGGGAAGGAGGGAGAGAGGCCCATTAGTGTAGCATCGATCCAGAGCCCAGGAAGCCCCAGGCCCTGGCCCAAAAGAACGCTGTGTTTATGAGCTGTGTCTGTATACCGCCCTGCCCCCTGCCACCTGGCACTCCAGTCTGCCTGCTAAACACCTCGCCACTCCTGCTGCCCAGCCAGGGGCACCTGCTCCCTCGTGGGACCTGCCAGGGGAGGCCCACAGCACAGCAGGTGGACCAAGAACCCTGCTGACCAGGAACTGGCCCCCCAGTGGGGTCAGACTCTCAGACAGTGGACACAGAAACAAAGCCACAAGGGCTCAGGTGTGATGAGGGCTGGGGGAAGAGGAGTGCAGACAGCGGGGTGGAGGGTGACAGGAGGGTGGGGCGGTGTCCACCCGGCAGACGGGGCAGCGTCTGAGGAGGGAGACCAGGCCTGGTGGGGAGGGAGCATCTATGCTGGAGTGTCCCCCAGATTCACCTCCGCCCGTCACCCGTGAGCACGGCTTGCCAGCTCACACGGCTCAGACAGGGCCATCCGCCCGTCACCCGTGAGCACGCTTACCAGCTCACACGGCTCACAGGCCTGGACAGGGCCATCCGCCCGTCACCCGTGAGCACGCTTGCCAGCTCACACGGCTCACACGGCTCAGACAGGGCCATCCGCCCATCACCCGTGAGCACGGCTTACCAGCTCACACGGCTCACCGGGCCTGGACAGGGCCATCCGCCCATCACCTGTGAGCACGGCTTGCCAGCTCACACGGCTCACGGGCCTGGACAGGGCCATCCGCCCGTCACCCGTGAGCACGCTTGCCAGCTCACACGGCTCACACGGCTCAGACAGGGCCATCCGCCCGTCACCCGTGAACACGCTTACCAGCTCACACGGCTCAGACAGGGCCATCCGCCCATCACCCGTGAGCACGGCTTACCAGCTCACACGGCTCACCGGGCCTGGACAGGGCCATCTGGTTAGAATGAGGCTATGATGCATGCGCCTTGTGCCACACGATGGGGGTTTGCACGCAGGAGAGGCGGCCAGAGACAGTGACACCAAGCATGGTGGCAGCCACTCACAGGACCAGAGGACACAGGGGACAGGGGACAGGCTCTCCGGAAGGCCGTGAGTGCCCAACACTGGGACATGTGGTGTGCGCAGGGCTGGCTAGGGAAGCCCTGGGAGCAGCAGGTGCAAGGGGCCTGTGGCCAGGTTCCTGGGCACCCACATCTGCCATGCCACCATGAGCCCCATACTCTGCCAGCCCGCGTGCCAGGGACCCCGTCACACAGGGGCACAACCAAGCACTCGACCACTCCCATTGCTTCACCCATGCTCAGCTAGCTCTGGGGGGTGTCTGAGGCCCCAAAGCCAGATTCACTCCTTCACTCAAACAGCTTTGCAGCAACAGCTGTGGCTTTGCGGGAGGGAGAGGCCACGAGCCAGGGCTCACAGTGCTCTGGACACGGGCATGGGTGCAGCGAAGGTGACCTGAGGAGACCGTGTGACACCTCAGCAGAGCCAGGTGAGGAGACTGAGGCGGCTGCAGGGTCACAGCAGCCTGGCATGGCACCTGCCCAGCACCACAGGACCCATGGCGTCTGGTTCCGATGTGATAGGGCCCACTGGGCATACTATTCACATGCGCCAAACCTCACTGACCGTGTCTGAGAGCTCCCCTGCACCCACGCTGTTCCCTGCCACAGCACAGCCTGCCCAGGAGGGACAGTGTCCCCACAGCCGCCAGGAATGCCACGAATCTTTCTGGAACAAAGCTGGGCTGGGTCTAACCCTGCAGAACATTCACCTCTGCCCCGCCTGCCACTCCAGCAGCTGTTCACATGCGCGAGACCTCACACCTGGTCCCTGGTCCACCGACTGCCCCATGAAGACACTCCCCCATGACCCCGGATGCCCTCGCCGCTGGCAGAGCCCAGTCTATACAAGCTGTGCTGGGTGCAGCTAGTACGTAGCTTCCTGCTACTGGCCTGGAGGGTGGGCCAGGGATTCTACAGATGGCAGGCTCTGCCATGTTCCCATCATGGAACACCCCACACGTGACCAGGCCCTACGAGCACCCAGTTCTGCCCACAGCCTTCTCTTCCATGCTGCCCCTCAGGCCTGCTCCCAGACCAGCAAGAAAGGGCCACACCTGGCCAGTTCTTTACGGCATCAGCCCCCCTCCAAGTGGGTGAGCCACAGTGACACCCGGTGCTGGGTGGGACACTACATCTGCCTACAGTCCAGGGAGAAAAGGCAAGAAACCATAGGAACCCTGGGTCCCCAGGAGGAGGCCGGGGAGGGGCCGTGGGTCTCCAGGAGGAGGCCGGGGAGGGGCCGTGGGTCTCCAGGAGGAGGCCGGGGAGGGGCCGTGGGTCTCCAGGAGGAGGCCGGGGAGGGGCCGTGGGACCCCAGGAGGAGGCCGGGGAGGGGCCGTGGGTCCCCAGGAGGAGGCCGGGGAGGGGCCGTGGGTCTCCAGGAGGAGGCCGGGGAGGGGCCGTGGGTCCCCAGGAGGAGGCCAGGGAGGGGCCGTGGGACCCCAGGAGGAGGCCGGGGCCCCAGCAGTGGACTCTCGCTGTAGCCGGGCCAGCCCACTTCTGTGAGATCCGAGCATCTGGGCAAGTGGCAGATGCTGATGCAGGACCTGCAGATGGGGCTGCGAGCGAGTGAGCACTCGGCAGCAGGGAGGGCTGTGCCGCGCCAGACTCACCCCCAAGGCGGCACACCTACAACCCTGCTCCCCGGGCACCTCTGACCTCTGTCACCATGCTGGTATCTCTGTCATCACCGCCCCAGGGCACAGTGGCTCCGAGGGCTCTGTCCTTGTCCCCATCCCTCCCTCCACGTGTCCCTGATCTGCATGAGCTGCCTGGCCCCATGGGTCTCCTGCTCCCCCAGGGTCCCCTCAAGAGTGGACAGAAAGAAAGCTGTGGGGACAACATGTGGCTGCCTCCCCTGCACCATGGGCAATCAGGGGCAGCACGTGCTCTGGTCCCTGTTGGGACCTGGATGCCAGCACTCTGTCGGACAGCCCAACAGCAGCCAGCACAAGACAGGGTCCCTGCAGGCAGCACAGGGCCCCGTGACTGAGGAGCAGGGGACAGGGAGTCATGGAGGAGGGCGATGCTCCCCTCCGCGAGGTGGCCTGTGGCAGAGGGTCGGGTCCAGCTGGTCGCCCAGCACACGTGGGGCCCCGGGAAGCAGGACGGGGCACGTGTGGGGCCCCGGGAAGCAGGAGTGGGCACACGTGGGGCCCCGGGAAGCAGGACGGGGCACACGTGGGGCCCCGGGAAGCAGGACGGGGCACACGTGGGGCCCCGGGAAGCAGGACCGGGCACGCGTGGGGCCCCGGGAAGCAGGAGTGGGCACATGTGGGGCCCCGGGAAGCAGGACGGGGTGCGCATGGGGCCCCGGGAAGCAGGACCGGGCACGCGTGGGGCCCCGGGAAGCAGGACAGGGCGCACGTGGGGCCCCGGGAAGCAGGACCGGGCACGCGTGGGGCCCCAGGATGGCAGGTCCCAAGGCCCTGCAGTGGTGCTGTACTTCTCGGGCACAGCCCGTCTCTGGCCACCCTGCCCACAGCCCCCAGGACCTGGGTCTTGCAGCTGGCTTCCCTGGAGAAGCCAGGCACGCTTCGGGTCCTAACCGCTCGCAGCATCCTACAGCCAGCTGGGGAGGGCAGGGGCACTCTGCCCCCCACAAGCTGGGGCCTAAACAGGACTTGCTCCACAGGACGCCACAATGTCTGGCAGAAGGAAACCCCCCGCCCCACCCCCGCTCATCAGCCCACGGGGCTGGAGACAGCCACATCCACAGTGACCGAGCCACCAGGCCGCCAGGCTGCCAGGCCGCGCTCACCCGGGCAGACAGCTCCACTCTGTCTTCTGACGTTGAACCCACGCTAATAAGGCGAATAAACATGCATTTAAAGATCAGAGTCCGTGCAGTTACAGTCTATTAAATTAAATTCACCGTCAAGGGTGAGAGAAGATAAACTGGGATTATTCTAGTCACGGCAATTAACAGCACAGCCACGAGCACCAGGAGAGCCATGTAATTCCCCCGTCCCTGAGGCAGCCATGCTGGCTGTGCCTGGCGCTGGAGCTGGGAAGCGGGGGCCAGTGACTCCTCCTGGGATTCAGAGGAGGCATGGGCAGTCCTGTGGTGGCAGCTCGCAGCTCCCTGC